GACTTTTTTTTAGATTTTTATACTCTGTGATATATGTCAATGATTGAATTAAAAAACCTTTTTATTAGGTCAGATCTATTATTACTCTCAGTCTTAATACAAAATACTCTTTTTCATTTACAAGCTGCACTGTGATTTTAATTATATATTTTATTCTAAATTGTGATGTCTTGTAATAACATGCCTATTTTAACTGAATAAATATTATTATTATTATCTCCGTTAAGGATCTCACCGAGACGTCTGTTGTATTTTTCTGACGCCGATTGAGTTAAAAGAAATTCCCCAAGTTTAATTCTCTTCTTAGAAGACTGTTCCAGGGGTCATTTCAGGGCCTGAATCTTCAGATTTCTGTACTACTGCCATCAACTGTAGCATGCACCGAGTCTTTGTTTTCAGTATAAACCATGATTTTAAAACATATTTTCTGAGAAAAAAAACCAAGTAAGGTGAGATAAACCAAGAGAAGTTAATCAGTTGTACATGTAATGAAAATCAGGGGATGTAGCTGTAGGTAAGGAGCACAACAAGATCGGTCTCTAGTGTTTTGTCGCAAGCAGGGGACAGGAATCCTTAATACAGATGAAATGAAAAATATTTTTGAGATGTTCCCTGATTTTACTCCTCTCGGTGTCCGTCTCTGTCTCCGTGGTTGGTCTGCCTCAAAAGGAGAAATGTCTATTAGCAGGTCACTGTGACCTAACGTTTGACCTTTGACCTCAATCTGAAAATATTTTGTCATGGCATATCTACTATACTTTTTCACCTGGAGTAACCAGATTTGGTATGGAAGTACATCTCGGGATGACAAAGTGCAGAATATTACAAGTAAATCACTGCGACCTATGACCTTATATCCTTTGAAAAGAATTGTCTGTGTTGGAACTTTAGCCTCAACATTTGGGAAAAAAATGTCCAATATGTTTTTATATTATTTCGTCTGGAGTAATCAGATTTGGTATGTGATTGTGGAGAGTAAATTACAAGTATTCGGAAAGAGATTAATCAGTTTGGTATGAATAATAAAGACTAACTTAGTTTTTAACACAAACAGGAATTGAAAAGTTATTTTGCGAGGTTAAGAAAATGTCTGTTTTTTTTGTCAAGCAAATAGTCAAATGACCGGTGTCTCGACTCTTCACCGCCGAAAACAACTAAACCACAGTGTGCCGAATCAGCTGTCAGAAATCATAGATTTTTCGCACAATGGTGCTCTAATACTGCAGGCAGTCAGAGGGACGGGTAACATGTTTAAACCTTTCCTCCCCTTATTGGATGTAAAAATGGGGTCATAAAAATGACTCAGCTTTGTATCTGTTCATCACCTAGCTGACCTATATTTTCACCTTTGACCCTATCCTTTGAAAACTTTTGTTTGAGACATATCTTTTTAGGTCACCCGAGCTTTGCTCAAGTGACCTATTCTAATCACTTTCCGTCCGTCGTCGTCCGTCGTGCGTCGTGCGTAAACTTTTTACATTTTCAACTTCTTCTCAAGAACCAGTGGATGAATTTTTTTCAAACTTGGTCAGAATCATCCTTGGTAGATGAGGCTACAAAATTGTAAAATTCGAATTCCTACCCCAACCCCTGGGGCCAGGGCGGGACCCCAAAGGGAAAATTAACCAATATTTCAAAAATCTTCTTCTCCAGACTCAGAGGTACTCCCTTGGGGAGGGGGTAAAGTTAACTATAGTTTATATAGGGAAATAACACTTTTGGGTATATTTTGACAACTTTCCGTAGAAAATTATTTTTACTTGGTGAGAATTATCCTATAAGATATCTTCTATAATTATGTAAGATATCTTATATAATTATACAAGATATCTCATATACAATAAAGATATCTTATATCTATATGAGATATCTTATATATATATGAGATATCTTATATAGCATATGAGATATCGTATATAGCATATGAGATATCTTATATGCGATATAAGATATCTTATATACGATATAAGATATCTTATATACTATATGAGATATCTTATATAATATATAAGATATCTTATGTACTATATGAGATATCTCATATAGAAATTAAATGAGATATCTTATATAAGTATATAAGATATCATATATACTATATAAGATACCTTATATCGCATATAAGATATCTCATTTCCTTTCATAGATGGAATATCTCATACAATATATAAGATATCTCATATGCTTTATCAAATTATACTGCGATACCTAAACAAAACAAATCCGGAATGCTCCTTTAAATTGCTGAGTTGGAAAAAACTTTTTTCTTCAATCTTAATTTAATTTACTCACTCAAACGTGACGACGAGAACAGCTCCACTGTCCTTTCATAGATGGAATCTGCTGTATTTTCCCTAGGCCTAGCTCGCCTTGTCTCTCTTATAGCGGCCAAAGCAGAGGCTGCCATTTCCTGCACTCTTGGTGTGGGCTCAGACATAATGGCGGCGACAGGAACACGTGTTACAACAAGTCTACTGTCCCTACGTAGATCCTCGAGATATTCCGGACGGGGAGACTTCATTTTCGACATTTTGTTAAAATCTGGTTCCTATATAAGATATCTTATTAAGTAACGAGACTTTAATTATATAAGATATCTTATATAGCTATATGAGATATCTAATATATTATATAAGATATCTTATATAGAAAATTAAATGAGATATTTTATATATATAGATCTTCTTCTCCAGACCCAGAGGTACTACAGTCATTTTCTCTGCATTGAAAGAAAGATCATCAGGGGTTTTACTTAAATTGTAAATTTCAGGACCCCGAGCTATTCGTTCTCCCTTGGGGAGGGAATAAAGTTTACTATAGTTTATATAGGGAAATAACACTTTTGGGTATATTTTGACAATTTTCTGTAGGAAATTATTTTTACTTGGTGAGAGTTATCCTTGGAGGAAGATGGTTTCAAATTGTAAAATTGAAATCCCTACCCCAACCCTAGGGGTCAGGGAGGGGCCCCAAAACGAAAATTAACCAATATTTCCAAAAATTTCTCCTCCATACTCAGAGGTACTACATTCATTTTCTCTGCATGGAAAGGGGAGGGGGTAAAGTTTACTATAGTTTATATTGGGAAATAACACTTTTGGGTATATTTTATCCATTTTCAGCAGAAAATTACTCAAACTTAGTCGGAATCATCTTTAGTGAATGAGAGTATTACTTTGTAAAATTGGGATTCCTGCCCCATCCCCAGGGGCTAGGGTGGGGCCCCAAAGGGAACATTTACCAATATTTTACATGACAAGTATTGTATTTCACTTAGTTTACATGCTGATTTCCACATCACATCTAAACAATAAAATAAAGCTACCAGTACCTATGATATAACTCAGGTGACTGCTAAGGCCCTTGGGCCTCTTGTTTCTATTTGGAATAACCAGATTTGGTATGGAAGTACTTCTTGAGATGACGAAGTGCAGAGTACAAGAAGTAGGTCACTATGATCTATATCCTGAGATAGGTGTACAGCTCAGTAAATGAAAACAAACCATTACTGATGGGGGACTATGGATTGCCTTGTTCATTTAAACATGTTCTTGAAATAGCTTGTCATACAGTTCTTCATCTTGGTGCAGGTGGGGTGTAAATATGCCATTCTGGCAACAAATGTAATCAACAGTAGACACCTACGGTCTGTTAGCTATCAGAAAATGTCGTTTAAAGGTTTTCGACACATTTGAGCCTTTTGAATATGGGTGAAAGTCATGCGTTTGAACAAACTTGAAACCTATTTATCTCAGCATGCTTCAGATCATGTTAGGCCTCTTGGTGATAAGAAGAAAGTTGTTCAAAGTAAAAAGTTGGCGCCAGACGGATGATTGATGCTTTAACAGGACATAAACTAACTTCTTGCTCTATAGAGTTTCATCTGGCCCTGATATTTTGACAGATACATTTATCTGTCAAAATCTGGTGTCAGAGCCAGAAGAAACTCGGGCTAGTACTTGCCCTAAAAATCATTTCATAGAATCTTGGTCAAAACCCACCTATACGTTTCAAAGAAGATGTTATTTGACAATTTACAATATGCCCCCTCCACAGCTGAGAGTTTTGCGGATATAATTTGAACATCGTGTTCAAATCTCTCTACTAATGCTGTTCTTAATTCGCTTGTAAGTTCAGAGATGTCATTTGAAGGTTCTGCAGTAAATGATAACTTTATGACATGCTGGTGAAAGTCCAACACTAACTTTCAGAGATGTTGTTTAAAGGTTTCACAGCCTTTGTTCCCTAACGGCAACACCCCTCAGCCCCTTCTTGAGTATACTTTTAGATCTTCATCATCTAACGATTATTTTATGGCATGATGGACAAACCTCATTAGTTACAGAGATGTCATTTCAACGTTCAACACTGTGCCACACGTTTTGCTCCTCTGTCCCTTGAGAGGTCAGGCACTTTGTGAGTATAGATCTTGATCTCACCATAGGCTGATTACCCCTGAACACTGTGCCACACGTTTTTCTCATCTGTCCCTTGAGAGGTCAGGCACTATGTGAGTATAGATCTTGATCTCACCATACGCTGATTATTATCCCCCATTTTTCTGTGACTCATGTGACTTAATAAAATATAGATGCAACGCTTTTTCAGCCACAGGGCATTTCTGAAACCCATATTTATTTCATAATCAATAATCACAAACATACATATACAGTATCACACTTAATAAATGGAACATGACAACTATTTTAGTGAAATGCAACTTATAACAGGTACAAGTAACAAATAGCAATGGGTACATTACAATCAATCCATTCCTTCAACATCCTGACCCACACTATCCTACTACAGATGTACTTTTCTCTTGCTTTCATTAAGTACAATTGGAGACGTCTCTATCGGTTTATTAAGACAATAAATACCAACATTAACTCATATAGCTACAATTAAGTTTAACTCATTCACCCCTGAAAACACATTTGAACTCTTCCAATTCAAAGGCTGGAATAGTTCATTATGAAATTTCAGGGGTAAATGCGTTAAACAAAATATGATTAGAAATATCTGAAATTTCATTATCCTTCTTGAACAAACTTTAAGTATAAATTCATTTCATAAAGATACACCATTTCATACACTGGTCTTTCTGAAGATCAAATGTATTATACTGTCACAGGCCTAGGCTACAAAATGATTTCATGGGATGTAACATAACGTAATTTGTCAAAAGGCTACATTTTGAGGTTTTCAGGTTGAGTTATATGTGTGTGAACAACAGGCCAAAACCTTGTCTCCTTGGTATTGAACAATACATAGTTGTATATAAAAAGCTGAATGAATAAACTTGCATTACTAAATGTGGTGGTCTTCGGGATGCTACTGTATTATATATACCAAAAAAACAAAATAGGGCTTCTTTGGTAGAGAAGATGACTATCATTTACACAAAAAAGTTCTATCTGGCACAATGGAATGTTAAAAGTAAATAAAAATGAACTGAACACTTTTGGAGTTAAATCATGAGCTTTATGGTGGTACACTTTTAATGACTGTATACTGGAAAACATTTGCCTTTCATTGGTAAAATCCACATCTGTCAGTGTTAATTTCACCCTTGACATGTAAGAACTAGATATTGTATGTTGTGAACTATCATGAAAAATTCGCCCTCATTGCAAAAGCGAAAACGGTGAAAATTAAACGGTGGAGAAGCGAAAACGGTGAAAATTAAACGGTGGAGAACATTTCCAGGTATACCATATAATGTATTGCAAACTTGACATATTTTTTAACATGCTTTTAAGTAGAATTAAGTCTCACATTAGATAATTTGATTTATATTCTGGGCATGTATTGTACATGTAAGGACTCATCGGCTTCTGAAATAAATTGTAAAACGTCATTTTTTATTTAATGTTTGCTCCACCATAACATGTGGCATACACGTACCTGTACGTATATAACATTATATAACAACCTGGATGGTAACATGCTTTTAAGTAAAGCTAAGAAGACTCACATAATATAAAGTTATACATATTCCTGGCATACATTATAAACACTCATGGGCTTCACAATTAAAGTTGACCACATCAATTATGTTGCAATATTTAAGAACTTTTTCTACTTACAACTGGCCTCAAGTTGGAAGCCGATTGTTATGTTAGTATACAAGGTATTGTCAAACTTATGACTAGCCTCACCGCGAATGTCAACTAGTCTCACTTTGCACGTCTGTGATGTTAGCTTATTATTGAACTTATGACTGGCATCTCCTTGAATTTCGATGACCCTCACTTTGGACGTTGTCTGTGATGTTACCGGATTTACTTGGGTTGGTCAGGTGGTGAAATAGAAAGCACATTCATCTTTCACAAAGTCGGCCAGGGTTTTTGGAAAGGTTACGGGGGTCACCTGCCTGTCCACATGGGTTTCCTCTAAATACTCTAGTTTTTCCCAAATTAACACCATCTACTTGCTTCCATCTTGGCCAACAATAGCAATTAATATAAGTTGGAAGATAGTTGTTTAATAATTATTGTAATGCAAATAATGTTTATATTTTATCCCAATTAGAACTTGGACATTTTGTAAGATGTTAAGATGATAAACCACCTGTTGTTAAACATGTCATAATTGCCACCATTTCCATTCATGCACACAGTGAATCCTAACCTTTGAAGGTTATTGAGAAAATAATCACCAATTTTACATTATATTATTCATCAAATATTGCAAGCCACATGGAGGATATCAATAGCATATACGCCTGAACACTGAAGCATATGGTATCTAATTCTTTACAAAGACTTAATCAGATGAAGTCTTGATGAACTTTTAAGCTGTCAAATTACTTACGATACCTTATCACTTGTATTGAGAGACCTTGTGTTTATCTGTGTTTAACGTCCTATTAGGGGCTATGGTCATATAAGGACGTGCCAGGTTTTGGTGGTGGAGGAAAGCTGAACTTCCTGAAGAAGAAACACTGACCTGTGGCGAGTACCTGTCGACTGCCCCTAGTACGAGGGCTTCAAACCCACAACCCAGAGAATAGTATTAGCACAATTAAGCTGTCTCTCAATACAGGTTCTGTTCAATATGGAATTGTTATATAACCAGTATTTTATTCAATAATGAGGAAAGGTTATTATATACATGTAGTGTCCGAGGGATTGACACAAGCTTAGAACTAATATTAATTCCTTTCCCATAGGAAATGTCACAATGTAAAACATTAAAAATGATCTCTAAACAAAGGTGGTCTCTTAATAGAGGTGATCACATGAGCAGGTTTAAATGTTTCATAAGCACAAATATACCAAACATGATGACGAAGAACTGTAGTAGTACATAACTTATATACAATGGTTTACTGTGGTTTTTTTTTATGATGTAATGTGATAATTCATCTATAACATTTCACTACTTACAGATAGTTATCTGTAACTATTATGTGTCTATACATGTAATGAAGGCCTTCCTCACCACAATGTGTTGTTGGTGATTGGGAAGTAAACATGTTGAAGTTTAATCTTCTGATGATTATCTTCCATGTGACTGTATGTTTTATATATATATTTTTTTGTTTTGCTGAACTTATCATTGCAGTGAGCATTGCAACAGATTATAACCATGGCATAAAAAGGAGGTATATTTCATGTTCTGCGAATAGTATAATAGCGGAAATCCTTATATATAGTAAATTTGTCAGTAACTTACACAAAAGCTTAGTATATAACTTATTCACAAGCTTTGTCAGTAACTTATACAAAAGCTTAATATATAACTTATTCACAAGCTTCATTGGGTACTTATTTGTAAACTCGGGGACTTTTTCATTCCATGAACTCTAAAACTCTTGTCAGTAACTTACACAAAAGCTTAGTATATAACTTATTCACAAGCTTTGTCAGTAACTTATACAAAAGCTTAATATATAACTTATTCACAAGCTTCATTGGGTACTTATTTGTAAACTCGGGGACTTTTTCATTCCATTAACTCTAAAACTCTTGTCAGTAACTTACACAAAGGCTTAGTATATAACTTATTCACAAGCTTGATTGGTAACTTATTCGTAAACTCTGAAACTTATTCATTCCATACACTGTCACTCATTCATCAGCTCTTTGTATCTTATTCAAGGGCATAATCAGAGTGTACTGGCTACAATGTAAGCTGATAACACAATGCATACTCTATGTCATGGAAATATGAAAACAATGTATTTATTGCACACAAAGAAATATTTCATACATCATATCAAATATCACTGCATATGAAGTCATATTTTGAATAATACAAAGCCATATACAATGCCTAGTTGTAAGATGGCAGTGTTAGCGCCCATTAGTTTCGGCCAACAACAATACAATTTTTTGTAATGTCAGCAACAAAGAAATAATTCATATTTTTCTAGTATTAGACGAAGACATGATACATGAAAATATTAACAAAAAACAAAAATGGAATTGGAGAGTGCAAAGCTTCCTCTGAGTTGATCAATATTCAGCATGCTTCAAATATCAAAGATAGATTCTTTATTAAACCCAACACTGAATACACAGTTCACTGAAACATGTTTACTGGTACATGTATATGCAAATTCTTGTCTAAAGCAAACTTACATTTGTGTGCCCTTAGCAAGGAAAAACATGTACCTTGTATGCATGAGTATCAAACTTTTATACCAACATTTGCCCATAGTGACCAACATTTGCCCATAGTGACCAACATTTGCCCATAGTGACCAACATTTCTAGGGCTTTGTTACAACCATGCTTAATTATAGCACTCGTTTGGTTCTAGGCACAACTTGAGTTACTGGGAGACCATCAATTTTGAAAGATTTCATTAAAAATGACAACGAAAAACTCAATTATATAAATAACACCTGTCATAAGAATCGGTTATTAATTATCTAACTCTGAGGTTGTTTCAATACAGTATTGACATTCAGGAAAGTACACCAAACAAAATATGATATTTGAACAATTCTCCAATTTTCCCGAGATTCTAATAAACCTGCTTAGAGAGTCAAACGAATTTATTGAATCTAGGTTAAACATGGAATGCATTTTAAATAGGTATGCATATACATGCATATAATAGTATTTCCTTATATGTAATTACTACCTGAAGAACCAGTAAAAAGAGTGAAAGCGCTTGTAGGAAAAACTTATTGTCCATGAACTTCAATAGGTCATATAACATACACAGCATATCAACATCGCATTACAAAAATGTAGACATTATCACATCCATACCTGGTATAAGTAGCCTTGACCATACCCTTCTGGTCTGACTAGTCCTCATAAGGTACCATTTCATACACCAAACACCTGCTCGTCTAACAGATTTATAAACCTTCACATACAAACACCTGTCTCGTCTAACAGATTTATAAACCTTCACATACAAACACCTGTCTTGTCTGACAGATTTATAAACCTTCACATAAAAACACCTGTCTGGTCCAACAGATTTATAAACCTTTACATGCAAACACCTGTCTGGTCTGATGGGTATATAAACCTTCACATACATTAACACCTGTCTGGTATGATGGGTATATAAACCTTCACATACCAACACCTGTCTGGTCTGATGGGTATATAAACCTTCACATACCAACACCTGTCTGGTCTGATGGGTATATAAACCTTCACATAC